CAGCTGCTTTTTCTCTGCGCGCTTCCTCCTGAGATCCGCTGGTTTGCAACCTTCCAACGTGGAGTCGGGACTTTTTTTAAGAGAGCTACGACGGTTGCCTAACCTCTGCATGGGGGGCGTGGTTGCGCACAAAGACAGATTTGACAGGTTGCAGAGGCTATGTGTCAGAAGCATAAATTGGACTTAATAAAACAGGAAGAGTTTGTATTCAAAGGGAATTTCTAGTGAGACAATTAAATTTAGCTTATTTTATCTACCTGATTTTTTTTTTAGTTTTTTTTTTTATCATTATCTAGAGTCCCACGTTCTCTAACAAGGCTGAAAAGAGGCTAAAGACGGTTGGAATCTGCTTTAGAGAGATTGGAGTTGCAGCTCAGAGGGAAACAGTACAGAAACTGTTTGCAGCTTTGCCTCATGGTTCGCTTGCCAACACTAATTCATTTTTTATACAGCTGGAGATCCAAAAAATAAAAAAAATCCAATCACTTCCTGCCTTAAGGTCCTAACTTTCCTTCTTTCAAACAATTGGAGAGTTTTCCTGTGACAATTTTATAACTTTTTTTTTTCTAAAGGGATATTTCATCTCCTCTTTTTCTTCCAAATCATTTTACCTGCATGTGACTGATCACAGACGCTGGTGATTCTGACACTGCTGAGTGATCAGATCCTTTTAATCATTTAAAAGATTCTGTCTGACAGTTTTCCATATAAATCCTGTCGGACTATTTCCCACCGATGGTAAAAATGAGTTTGATTAAAAACGCAGGCACTGTGGGGGGCTCCCTCTCGCTCTCTCTCTGAACTGCAGGATGTTATTTCAGGCCCAGAATTAAACATTAGAAAAACACTTATTTGGCCATCTAAGGAAGTCAAATGGGACCTGGGCTAGATAGTGTTTTCAAACCAAGTACAAATGTCCAGCTGTTAGATGGAGCTGCCCAGTCTGTTGTAAAGACAGAAAAGTGAGGTTCGGAGAGCAAAACTGGGCTGTCATGCTGCTGCCTGAGCGAGACTGTGGGGATTCAGTATAGGCTCGTTTAGAAAACATACGAGTGCAAGCCTAGTTTTAACTTTATGGCATCAATTCTTGGCCTCTAAAGCCTGATTTCTCTGCTTGACGTGAGATCAGATCAATGGGCAAGCTCAAAGCTGCGCTTTAAGTACACAATGTCCTGCAGCTGTAATGATGCTCCGCAGAGCGAACTGATCAATGGCTCTTTGAGGGGCTGGAACCACTGCCCGGCTTATACAACCTCTCATATAAGGGCCGATTTGGCAGGCAGGACCACATCTGGGCCCTGAGGTCAATAAATTATTATGGAGATGAGAAAACGGTAGTTTTACTGCTCCATCAATCCTGATTTCAGAAAAAATTAATTAATTTAATGCAAGAAGTAGAAAAAAGCTCTGATATAAAGCCAAACTGTTTTTAGAAGAGGATTCCCTGAGTACCATGACTTTTCTGGGTATTTGATCCATCCAATTTTAGTTTTCTGCTGCCATCTAGTGTTCATACTCAGAATCACAACTCAGAGGCTGAACTACAGTCTCCCTAAAAGAGGAGTTACATTATTTTAAAGAGAGGAAAATATTGCAAACCGAAGGCTTGCGGGCAAAATCAGATTTGCAAGATTAGAAACATGCTAATTTAGAAGGAAACAAGCAGCAAATGTAAGAGAATAAATAGGCAAATTTACATGAAAAAACATACCAATTTACGAGATTATAAAGATGCTAATTTAGAAGGAAAAAAATAGAAGATTTACGAGACAAAAACACAACTTTGGGGAGTGGTGGCCTAGTTGTTAGGGCATAGTTTGGAATCCTGAGGTTCTGAGTGGGAGCCCCACTCCCACAGACTGCCACTCTGGGTCTCTGAGCAAGACTCTTAACCCCCGATATCTTCCCGGGCGCCCCACGATAGCAGCCCACTGCTCCCCAAGGGGATGGGTTAAATGCATATGGGAGCAATATTGTTGCTAAATTATTTGCACGTGTGTCGAAAGTTGTGTGTCTTTATCTCGATTTCTGTGAGTGCAGCGGGATTTGAAAATGTGGAAATAAATCTGGAGATAAGTGAGGAGATTGGATCTGTCTTCACAACAATCTGCAAATCCTGCTGCTTTTCTAGCCTCAAATCCTGGTCTTCCAAGCTCAGCAGAGATATTAAGCTGCTTCACTATGCAGCACGACTAACAGGCCCTATTTAGGCAATAACTTTAGTTTATTGATTGTTTATATTGACAAACAGAACCACATAAAGTTTATTCTGCATCTTTGCCCCCATTAAACAGTGCATATAACCCTGGACTGGACTCTGGATTGATTCATGTTTCAGCTCTAGCATACATCTACTCTGGCTCCTGCAAAAACCAGCATAAGAATGGAAAGCGCAGCGGGTGACATCTAGTGGACAATGCAAACATTACAACACAAAGAAATTAATTTTAAGTGGAAGATAAAAAAGGAATTGGATGGAACTAATTTCAATCTAATAAAAAATAAATTGACAAACATCCAACCACTGACCTAAAACTTAAAGTCCTGCTTAGCAACACGTCTGTCTGTAGTGATTCTAAGTGAAATTTTGTAGTTTGTGTCAGAAATGTCTTTTCGCGTGTCAAAGAGAGACGTAAACCGAACATGCAAAGACCACAGAGCTTCACTGCAATGATGGATCCACAGTAGCATGCAATAACGCAGCAGGTGTATGGAACAAACAGTGACCATGGAAACAGATGAAACTCCATGCAGGTGAGAGAGGCTCATGCTTCCCTGAAACCCTAACAGAACCACATAAAGTTTATTCTGCATCTTTGCCCCCATTAAACAGTGCATATAACCCTGGACTGGACTCTGGATTGATTCATGTTTCAGCTCTAGCATACATCTACTCTGGCTCCTGCAAAAACCAGCATAAGAATGGAAAGCGCAGCGGGTGACATCTAGTGGACAATGGAAACATTACAACACAAAGAAATTAATTTTAAGTGGAAGATAAAAAAGGAATTGGATGGAACTAATTTCAATCTAATAAAAAATAAATTGACAAACATCCAACCACTGACCTAAAACTTAAAGTCCTGCATGAGCAGTTATCTACTTTTTAGAGCTCTAGTCTTCACAGCATTAAAGTTGCAAATAGTATTAAAATTGAAACATAACTTGAAACGTAATCAACATTGAACACGTGTTAAATGGGCGTGCAGGTGGGCGGTTAGCGCACATGACCCATGTACGGAGGCCTTAGTACTTGACGCGGCTAACCAGGGTTAGAATCTGACCTGTGGTCCTTTCCTGCATGTCTCTCCCCCCTCTCTCATACCCCCTTTCCTGTCAGCCTACTGTCAAAAAAAAACGAGCCACTAGTGCCACAAAAACTAAAAAAAAAAATGTGTTAAATGAATGGAAGATGTCTAAAGTCTTGAGATAGGTTCAACCAAATGCAATATTATCCAGCCTCCTGTCTTTATCTGCGTCCCTATTAATGATTTTCTATAAGCAAACTGGACAGATTCGCTTTTCGCTCTTGATCTTCCCTCCATTTTGTTGCAGCTGTTATAACATCTGTTTACTAAAATGTACAGAAGTAATGGGCCAGTTTTAAGAAAACATTTGTGTTCAAATGTTTCTTTATTAAGTTTAGTAAGTTAACCCTTTATAGGGCACTCAGTGAAATACTTTGAAAATCAAAAATTTCAAGCCAATAGTTTCATTGGAATCAATTCAATTCAGTTTATTTCTATAGCGCCAATTCACAACACGTCATCTCAAGGCTATTTACAGTTCACCGGATCATACAGTCAAATTGATTTCAAGTTTTCTATCTATTTCTATATAGGAAAACCAGTTGATTGCATCGACTCATCGACTCGAAGGCAATCCCTCACAATAAGCATGCTTGTAGCGACAGTGGAGAGGAAAAACTCCCTTTTAACAGGAAGAAACCTCCAGCAGAACCAGGCTCAGTGTGAGCGGCCATCTGCTGAGGCCGACTGGGGTTCAAGGAGACAGAAGCAGAGATACAAAAGACGTAACATTCCAAAAATATGGATATTTTCATAGCAAAAATGAATGTCAACATAATAACAAGAAACGCCAAACTTGCCCAAATCTATTAAGAAAAATAACAAAAACACTTCTATAAGAAATTCATGAAAAACACTCTGAGAGGGAGGGAAACACATTTTCTTTTGGTTCAACATAACCTTAGAGGCATTAATGCTGATATTGGCACTTACATTTTTCAGTTTATAAACCTAAATATAATTGTTAACTAGGCTTATTATCTTTTTAACTTTTCAATTAGCTTTTTACCTTTTTTTCTTGACATACCTTTTTTCCCCCCCGACTTAATTTCCAGTAGGTAATATATCATTCAAGGGCTCATCTAACTGGTCAAATATCAATATAAGATGTACAGCCATGTAGGAGTATCTTTGCTGAGTGGCTGGATATAGATCTTGTGCTTCTAGCCCTCAGTGAGGGATGGGGGGGGGGGGACTCAAAAATGCTAACTTGCCCTATAAAGGGTTAAGGTTAAAAAGAAATCTGCATACTTAAGTAAAGCACATACAGTGAAAAAGCTACTAAAGCAATTATACTCAACACCTCTGGTTAATGAAGTTAGAGCTTAGCAACACGTCTGTCTGTAGTGATTCTATGTGAAATTTTGTAGTTTGTGTCAGAAATGTCTTTTCGCGTGTCAAAGAGAGACGTAAACCGAACATGCAAAGACCACAGAGCTTCACTGCAATGATGGATCCACAGTAGCATGCAATAACGCAGCAGGTGTATGGAACAAACAGTGACCATGGAAACAGATGAAACTCCATGCAGGTGAGAGAGGCTCATGCTTCCCTGAAACATGTGGGCAGCTGCTGTTAGTCGGGGGGGGAATGGGGAGTATTAGCAGGGTAGTCTTCATGCATGAGGAATCAGACGGAGGTGAAGAAGAAGAGCAGGTGGATGAACTACAACTGATGTTTCAAGGTACGTACCCAGAAAGAGCCTCTTAGGGATTCTGACCTCTTCGTCCTTACTGTCCGTCGCTACGGACGAAACAGAAAGAAAGGGACAAGAAGAAGAGACAGCTTGGTTTTCTGCATCTCTTTCAGCAACGCTAACAGATGAGCCGCAGTATTTACGGCTGAGAAACTACCTGCGGCCCCTTATCGGAGGAATAGCTGCGTTTCTATTGACCATCAAATTAAACTTTGAATATGAGCATAAATGGAACTAAAATAAAAAGGTGTTTTTTTGCCATATGGAAATTTTTGCATTTCACAAAACTGTAAAGGAAATACTTCCTACAAATACTTTCTTTTGCCATTTACAGTCAATTAAAAACTTATGTAAACATTTTATTCAATTATTCGGTTAATCCAAATTATAATAATTAAATTCATTGACTACACTACAATCCATAGATTCAGGCCTAGCTGGTAGTACTACCATTAAAGCTGAAGAAGATGGGAAGTAGTCAGAGGATAATAGTGCTGTGTGTTTTCTAATGAATTATCAGGTAAATAAACTTATTCCTGTGATTTAATTGCATTTCTTATTTAATGGAAATACTACAATTTTTTAATTTAAGCAGATGAACAAAATTTGGCAGGCATTTGTAATGGAAGCACAGCGACTGATCAGTAAACACCTGCTGAAATTAAGCTAAAACGGCACAAACGTACCTTTTTTGTCCATAATCAAGAAATTGTTACTAAAAAACGAAAGCATTTGGTTTCATCCAAACAAAGGCATTCGTTAGTAATGTTTAAGAAAAAAAAGGCAGCGTTCTTTTGCCTTTAATCAGAAACCTTCAGTCGTTTTAAAAGGGAGAAGAAAGTAGGCCCTCTTTCAGCTGAGAGATTTATATATCAGGATATTTATCAGGATATCGGAAGATTGTTGATGAGAACAACCTGTTGTTTTTCAAACCATGTCTGTGCCTATTGGCCAACGCTCTGACCAATGAGTGCAACTGACTGTGACGTAGTACGTGAGACAGAAAGCTGGTGGGGGAGTGTAAACAAACAAACAGCCAGTCGGTAAAAATGGCGAATACATCCTTCTTAAAAATGGATGAGCGTAGAGCCTCTTCCTCTTCCTGCTCACGTTTCAAAGAAACTGATTTTAAAATTTAAAGTTAAAGATGGTTTATCAAAATAAAAAAAAAGTAGCAACAAATTCTCTTTTGTCTGAAACGATTATAGCCCCAACACTAACTAGGCCTTTATGGCTGGATCTGGATGAACCAGTGACATGGACAGGGGGTTAGTCATGCCCTCTGGCCCAATATAAAAAAACATGCTAAAGCTCCCTCTCAGAAGCAAAACACATTCTAAAGTGCACCCATTGAAGCCAAAATGTGTGCTTAAGTGACTGCTTGGGAGTCAAAACCCTTGCTAAAATGCCTCGTTAGCCAAAAAGAGTGCTTAAGTTCTCCCTTGGGAGCCAAAACAACTTACAAGCATTCCCTTGGGAGTCAGAACACATCCAAGTTACCCCCTTAGGAGTCATAACCATTACTAAAGTCCCACTTTAAGAGCTGAAACACATGCTAAAGTGCACCCATTGGAGTCAAAATGTGTGCTTAAGTGACTCCTTGGGAGTCAAAACCCTTGCTAAAATGCCTCGGTAGCCAAAAAGAATGCTTAAGTTCTCTCTTGGGAGCCAAAACAACTTACAAGCATTCCCTTGGGAGTCATAACCATTACTAAAGTCCCACTTTAAGAGCTGAAACACGTGCTAAAGTGCACCCTTGGGAGCTAAAACACAAGCTAAAGTGCACCCATTGGAGTCAAAATGTGTGCTTAAGTTCTCCCTTGGGAGTCAGAACACATCCAAGGTACCCCCTTGGGAGTCATAACCATTACTAAAGTCCCACTTTAAGAGCTGAAACACGTGCTAAAGTGCACCCTTGGGAGTCAAAACCCTTGCTAAATTGCCCCCTTGGTAGCCAAATAGAGTGTTCAAACATACTTTAATAATCCCAGAGGGAAATTACTTTTGTTACACGCTCCAGATATACAAATATATATATATATATATATATATATATATATATATATATATATATATACACTCACCGGCCTCTTTATTAGGTACACCTGTCCAACTGCTCGTTAACAGTTAATTTCTAAGCAGCCAATCACATGGCAGCAACTCAGTGCATTTAGGCATGTAGACATGGTCAAGACAATCTCCTGCAGTTCAAACCGAACATCAGTATGGGGAAGAAAGGTGATTTAAGTGACTTTGAACGTGGCATGATTGTTGGTGCCAGAAGGGCTGGTCTGAGTATTTCAGAAACTGCTGATCTACTGGGATTTTCACGCACAACCATCTCTAGGGTTTACAGAGAATGGTCAGAAAAAGGCTGGTGGTGGTGGTGTCATGGTGTGGGGAATATTTTCTTGGCACTCTTTGGGCCCCTTGGTACCAATTGAGCATCGTTGCAACGCCACAGCCTACCTGAGTATTGTTGCTGACCATGTCCATCCCTTTATGACCACAATGTACCCAACTTCTGATGGCTACTTTCAGCAGGATAATGCTCCATGTCATAAAGCTGGAATCATCTCAGACTGGTTTCTTGAACATGACAATGAGTTCACTGTACTCAAATGGCCTCCACAGTCACCAGATCTCAATCCAATAGAGCATCTTTGGGATGTGGTGGAACGGGAGATTCGCATCATGGATGCGGCAACTGTGTGATGCCATCATGTCAATATGGACCAAACTCCCTGAGGAATGCTTCCAGCTCCTTGTTGAATCTATGCCACAAAGAATTGAGGCAGTTCTGAAGGCAAAAGGGGGTCCAACCCGTTACTAGCATGGGGTACCTAATAAAGTGGCCGGTGAGTGTATATACGACAACCGCACAGATTACTTAAGGAGCCAAAACAACTTACAAGCATTCCCTTGGGAGTCAAAACACATCCAAGGTACCCCCTTGGGAGTCAAAACCATTCCTAAAGTCCCGCTTTAAGAGCCAAAACACGTGCTGAAGTTCCCCCTCGGGAGCTAAAACACATGCAATATTGCCCTTGACAATGTTGAGGACATGCTATATTTGCTTTTTCCCCGCTCTTTCTTCTCCTGCCCTTCAAAAGGTCTGTGCACACCTCTGAAATGAACCATAAGACATTTTTTATACAGTTGGACCGATAATTCAAGTGAAGATATGGCAGCCTTTCAGCTAAATCCCCCGACACCAACTGGTGGTAAAAGGGTAATTGTTTTGATTTCGAGACCGAGACCTGTTTAAGTTGTGGACTATAAACCCGTAAATTGTTTTTAAAGCGAGTTTGAGTTCATTTGTTGAACAACTTCAGCTAAAACAGACTAAAACTGGGCCATCAACAGGACAACTGGCCACAAACAGAGCTACGACAAATATAACAACACAAACAAGACAAAAAATACCAATTTGGGATCATGTCCCAGTCATAGTTCACGCTTCAACTTGACAGAGATGTTGAGGAAGAAGTAAATGTCTGCAAACATGAATGAACTAAAGAAAGGAAAGGCCAAAATCCTTCTAGACACGAGCAAAATCAGCAAGGTTAGGAAACTATTAATGAGAGTTATTGAGATTTTTTTTCTTTTTAGGCTCTATCTGCAAACAAACTGTTATACTAAAATCTAATAAATTACATTAATTGGACACAGGTTCCTACTTAGATTCTGCTGTAAAGCCAAACTACTGTCCATGCACTGGAAAAACGATTTAGAAATAAGTTCAAATTTCCTAAATTAAGTGTATTTACCCTTAATTTAAGAATGTAGATGAGATAGTTTGCCAATGGAATGAGTATTTTTACAAATACACTTGAAATAAGACAATGCAATTGTGTTTTCTTATTTTAAAAGTAAATTTTCTTGTTCTATTGGCACTTATTTTTTGAAAAGATTACTTATCTACATTTCGATTTGTTCCAGAGTGAAAGCTATGTAGACAAGTAAAACTCTGTAGGTTCAGAGTTTAAGTTTGACATTTGTTTTTTCTAGAAATATTCTAAATCTACCTATAGTTCCCCTCTATGCAGATGATATAGTTATTCATAAATTACCATCACACATAGCAAGAGAGTCTCAACGGTTGCAATTGAATGTTTGTCAACTTAAACTGTGTGGTTAAATGCCAGTGAAAGCTATATCACATGGTTTATAACTGATCCCTTCGTCCGTTTTAATTTGCATGTTTTCTACATCATGGGCTACTGGCATTTACAGGTTAAAAAATGATATATAAAGCCGCTGGATTGTTAGCTGTAAAAACAAACGCATCATGATAAACCTTTTTTATTTCCTTTTCTGCAAGCTTTACCACATGACTGTCTCCTTGTGTTTAGTTTTAAGGAGAGCCTTTATCCTCAGAATGAGGAGTTATCTAATGGAGATGTTCAGTTAACTGTTTCCTCATGACTTTAGATTTTCCATGATGAACAAACATGTGTGTGGGAGGAGGGATGGGGGGTCTAGATCATCACTATAAACACATAAAGGCCCCGTCACTCTCCTTACACAGACTATAAAAGGCTGTAACATGAGGGACGGAGCTCCAACAGGCCTTATCAAACAGCTCAAGGCGGCTCCTTGGATCTGCCTTTTACAACCTGCTGACCGCCTGGGAGATTAAAAGCCTTTTTATCTCACTTTGCAAGAATAAAGACAGATTAACCGTAGTTATTCTGTCACTGAATCATTCGTCTTTCAGGACGTTTGTCATGGTTTGCCTGTCGGTTGCAACATGATAAAAAAAGTGTTGAATCTTTCTAAAACTTCCCTGCACTTTTGTCACATAACAGGCAAAGTCTGCGAGGAAATTAGCTCTGGCCTTAAGAATAGAGCCATAAAAAGTGTGCTTTGCACCAAAATGAAGGAAAAACAACAGTAAAATCAACCTAAACTGGTTATCGTTTTTTTTAAATAGAAATGGAAAAAAGCTAAACGAATCCAAATAACTAGTCCAAACGTGAGAAATGAAAAATGGAAAACAACACATTTTTTGTTTTTGATCTTCAAAATGAAACTAAATTAACTGTTATCTCTTTTCCAACAGTAAATTTGAAAACAAAAACTTGTAATTGGAAAAAGGCAGCAACGTTTTCTTTTAATTTCAGATTTGCTGTAAGTGACTTTAGGCTGGTCGTGAAACAGAAGCTGTCCATAAAACATAAAGAAGAAGCATTGCATTAACAGGTCTGATTTTAACAAGTCAAAAAGGAATATTGGAATGATCTGCGAAGAAATCGCGCTTAACGCACAGTTATTTATTTAAAAACTTTAAAATGATTTGGTACGGGGTGTGTTTTGGTGGAACAGTGGTTAATGCACACAACCGAACCGGGTTCGATTCCTTTGGTCCTGGTTCTCTGCCGCATGTCTGTCACCCTCCCTCATACCCCCTTTCCTGTTAGCCTACGGTCAAGAAAAAAAAACAAACGAAAAAAAACCCAAAAACACTAGTGCCGTAACGACCCCACCACCCACTCCCAAAAAAATATTATTTGTTCCCATTTTCTTATCGGTTCATGAAAATCTATAACTTGTAACATTGCGAGAATAAAGTCGTAAAATTACGAGAATAAAGTCGCAACGAGAATAGTCATACGTTTTCAAGAATAAAGTCATAAAATTGCGAGAATTAAGTCGTAAAATTGCGAGAATTAAGTCGCTACAAAAATTTTCATAAGTTTTCGAGAATAAAGTCATAACATTACGAGAATAAAGTAATTAAATTACGAGAATAAAGTCGTGAAATTCCAAGAATAAAGTCGCAACGAGAATAGTCATAAGTTTTCAGGAATAAAGTCATAACATTCTGAGAATAAAGTAATAAAATTACGAGAATAAAGTTGTACAATTACGACAAAAAATTCACAAGAGTAGTCATAAAATGAGAGTAAACTCGTAACATTACGAGAATAAAGTCGTAAAATTACGAGAATAAAGTCATAGAATTACCAGAATAAAGAATAGATTTACCAGAATAAAATAATAAAATTACCAGAATAAATTTGTAATATTACGAGAAAAAAGTCACAACAAGAATAGTCGTAATATTAATAGAATAAAGTCCTAAAATACAAGTTGTATTTCATGAAAACTCTTTCAACAAGCAGTGTCTTCCCTAAAATGAGGAATGTGGAGCATCATGTGAAGTTATTCTTGGCTCTGGTTTGACCAATAAGGAAATCTCTTAGCACCAGCATCAAACTGGGCAGGATGTCAAAGTGGACTCAGGTTGCTGATTGGTGGAGCTGGTCGGCCGTCATCTGCTGGTTGGAGCTCGAAGCTTTCTTTCTGAAACGGGTTGTTGTATGATGACTTAATTTTCGTAATATTACAACTTTATTCTCGTAAATTTACGACTTAATTCTCTAAATTTTTTACGACTTCATTCTCTAAATTTTTTACGACTTCATTCTCGTAATTTTACGACTTAATTATCGTAATTTTACAACTTAATTCTCGTAATTTTACGACTTTATTTTCGTAATTTTACAACTTCATTCTCTAAATTTTTTACGACTTAATTCTCGTAATGCGACGACTTTATTCTCGTAATTTTACGACTTTATTCTCGTAATTTTACGACTTCATTCCTGTGATTTTAATAAATAAATCTCTTGCCTGGCCATAATACTCCCTTGTACTCATACAAGCTTACTTTGCCCGAACATCCGCCCTAACCCCTAAATCCCTCAATCACTAAATAGAGCGGGTCTAGCCTAGCCATAATACTCCATCTTAAAAAACAGCTCTTTTCCCGATTTTGTTTATTTCCATATCAAGAGGGGAAAAATGAATAAAAATCAGTTGGCCATTATTTATACAGACCCTGAATGCACATTTTTTCACTCGGTAGTGGCAGTATCATACTTTAACAGGATGCATAACTTTCTATACTTGAATTTCATTTTCAAACATTTGGAAACCATACCTCTTTTTCCTTCGTCTTCATTATTATGTGGAAATTTGTCTTGTTTTGTCATATAAAGTAAAGAAAATGAAAAACCACGAATACATTTAGAGGTTTGTGGATAAAAAGAGATAAAAGCTGAAGAAGTTAAGTTTGGGAGGTAGAAACTTTTAAGGGATTTGCTCTTCTTTTCTTGGAGCATCAGGTTCCAGATCGATTGTATTTTACTCATGATGCTTCCTGAGTAACATCACATCTAAAAAGTTCATGTTTAGCACAGAGATCTACCCTAAACCTTCACTTCTGCTCTAAATGCCTTTTATTTATATTCAATGAGCTGCAGTAAACACGGGTGTTTTATCAGAGTCTCTGACCTAAGAAGGAGCGTCTCTTGGTGTTGAGTTCTGCGGCCATCCGGACGTCGGTGCAAAGGTTCAGCATGACCAGCATGGTGCCGATCATGATGATGCTCTGCCACAGCAGCGGCATCTCGTAATAGTGGCCGAATCTGAGGAAAGAAAGCAAAAAAAAAAAGAAGCTGTAGTTCTGGACTTTGACTAGAATATTCTTAGACTTGTACAACTTGTCATTTTGTATACACAGTGTGAAGAAAACAATATTTCTTTTTGTACAGCTTTCATTACATTTCCGTTTCTTAAAGTGCAGCAGGGATCAAATGTAAACAGTGTGGGAGAAAAAAATATGGTGCAAAGAAATGCATTCTGGACAAGGCTTTGCAGGCCTCTACTAAAAACATAATACTAGAATTGTAATGATGATGCACTGGAACAGGTCTACGTAGTGACTGATACTGTAGGTACCGTCCACTCTGGTCTTCTTTCTTTCCTCTGAGGCTTTTCTTTTGCTCTCATGTTTGTTAGCTGTCACAATTCATTCAGAATTCTGAGATTAAAGTCAAAATTCTGAGATTAAAGTCAGAATTGTGAAAAATAAGTCAATTTTTTTAGAATAAAGTCAAATTTTTGAGATTAAAGTCAAAATTCCGAAAATAGAGTCAGAAATGTGAGAAAAATGTCAGAATTCTGAGATTAAAGTCAAAATTGTGAGAAATAAGTCATATTTGTTTGATTAAAGTCAACATTCTAAGATTAAAGTCAAAATTCTGAGATTAAAGTCAAAATTCTGAGAAAAAAGTTAGAATTCTGAGAAAAAAGTCAGAATTCTGATATTAAAGTCAGAATTGTGAGAAATAAGTCAAATTATTTAGATTAAAGTCAACATTCTGAGATTAAATTCAATTTTTTGGAATGAAAGTCAAAATTCTGAGATTAAAGTCAAATTTTTGAGATTAAAGTCAGAATTGTGAGAAAAAAGACAGAATTCTTAGATTAAAGTCAGAATTGTGAGAAAAAAGTCAGAATTGTGAGAAAAAAGTCAGAATTGTGAGAATTGTGAGAAAAAAGTCAGAATTCTTAGATTAAAGTCAGAATTGTGAGAAAAAAGTCAGAATTGTGAGATTAAAGTCAAATTTTTTAGATTAAAGTCAGAATTGTGAGAAAAAAGTCAGAATTGTGAGAAAAAAGTCAGAATTGTGAGAAAAAAGTCAGAATTGTGAGAAAAAAGTCAGAATTGTGAGAAAAAGTCAGAATTCTTAGACTAAAGTCAGAATTCTTAGATTAAAGTCAGAATTGTGAGAAATAGGTCAAATTATTTAGACTAAATTAAAAATTCTGAGATTAAAGTCAAAATTGTGAGAAAAAAGTCAGAATTCTGAGATTAAAGTCAAAATTCTGAGATTAGAGTCAAACTTCTGACTTATTTTTCATATTATACTGAAACAAAATTTAAAGATCAGTTATATTTTTTTTATTTTTTCAGTGGCCCTGATCCTCTTCCGTAATAATTACATCAAATTGGAGCAGAATTGGAATGATGCAGTCTGACATCCCCCTGCTGACCGGCGGTCACCCCACCACACCTCCTGCTGACCGGTGGTCACCCCTCCCCACCTCCTGCTTAGCCGGAAGGCGCTTCGTACCTGAACAGGATCCTCAGGATGTTGGCCACCAGCAGGACCAGGCACACGTATGTGGAGAAGCCCTCCGCGTTCTGGCTCCGGCGGATGTCTCGGTACTGCGGGATGTAGGGCACCACCCCTCCGAACATGATGGCACCAGCGGCGATCCATGACACCAGCGCGCTGAACACGGACACCACATGCTGGAACAGCTCATCCTCCATGATCAGCTGCTGTCTGGAGGAGCACCTAGAGGCTGATTGATGCCGCTGGAAGGAGGGGGGGTAACATCCGTGTTTTGGTTGCTCTTTACACGGGATGTGAAAATAATAGCAGCCTGACTAACCCTACTGCCACGACATCTAAAGGATACACCGGAAAGGTTGGTGTTACAGAACCAGACAGGAAGAAAGCAACGCTTTGATCATCCAATGAGACAAAGAGCTGTTGTTGTCCTTTGATGCTAGCAAGACATTGGTCTACGCGTTTAAAACGAACGAGACGAATCTTAGAGATTTTTATTTCTTATCTAAAAATAAAACAAGAAAAAAAATCTACAAAAATGTAAGGAAAGACAAGGTCTAACGTAATGAACATTAGTTCGCTTTGCAGCCCAACCGGTCAGTCCGTTTTATTTCTTCTTTAAGCACTTCCTGGAACGTCACAAGTTCGAACAAAGATGATAAACTCAGTCAAGATGCTTCACCCTCCAAACGGATTGGACGCGGGTTTCAGTCGCCGTGAGCGAAAAACGGAAATTATATCTAAAAGTAACGACTGAGTTAGGTTCGAATCATGCATTGCTCATCTAAAATTAATAAATTACATATTTTATTTTTATTAAATTCTGTTTTGCTGTGTAAAAAAAAAAAAAAAAAAAAAATCACAAACGAAGCTACAACCTCCGTCTTTCAAAATACCCTTAAAACTTCATTTTGAAGTCTATGTTTTCTAACACAATTACACAAATCCATGCACAAAACTTTAACTAGACATTGAAATATTTCAAATAAACAATTAAAAATATACCAAAATGTAGTAAATGAAAGATTCTCCCATCTTATGATGCCACTTTAAAACCAACATAAGCTTTTAAACTTGCCCACCAACTTTTAAAACCAACTTTTAAAAGCTTTTTCTCTCATTATTTCTCCTAAATGAATAGATTTTACTTCCATTCAATCAGGCCTTTTTCCTCAGGGCCACAAAACTAAACTACAGTTCAATTCTCACTTTAAATAAAAAAACAACAAAAAGCAAATCTAGTTACTCTAACAAGAAATATAAGCCAGTATTCAGTCTAACAATTATTATTAAGATAATTGAAAAGACTGTTTTCAGCATTTATTATGATAAAAAGAATAATTCAGCTCTTTCTATTCAGGATTCAAACCCCTCCAAAGCACCTACTACACACATGGTAACCAGTTTTTCACAGTAATGGGTTCAGAAATGCTGTTTTTTAATGTTTAGATGTTGTGTTTGACAGAGTTCATCATAACATCCAGTTTGCAAGGCATAAAAAATAGATTGTGTGGTAATGTTCTACACTGTTTGAGATTTTGATTTACAGAAATAGACAGATTTTTGTTCCACTGTTGTTCCAAGCGAACATATTTTGTAAATGGAAATAAAAAAGAAATGTATTTTGTCAATTGAAATTCAAAAAGATGCATTCCACAAATAAAATTTTGAAAAACCCTCAAAAAAAAAAAAGTTTTAGGGAGAAATTTTGACTTTTTTATAGATTCTATCTTTTTTTTTTATCAATTTCAAATAATTTTTTTTACATTTAATTTTCTATAATTATTTTATGTTTTTGTGTTTATTTTTATTTCCAATTTTGTTTTGTTTATTTTCAATTTCACTTTTTCAGAATGAATTCAGTTGAAATCGCATTTCAAATACAATTAAAAAAAAATCTGATTCAAAATTCAAAATATGAAAAATATATTTAGGAGGATGCAAAAAAATCTGAGGGAAAAACAAGCAAAGCTGCTCTCAAAACTTTTTGTTTTTGTTTTTCAAAGCTTTATTTCTTGATCGCATTTTTCAGGGTTATATATATGGAACAAGTTACAATAATGGAACAAATTTAACTCCATACAATTAAGTTATTTGCTGATGAAAATTCTGGCAAACAGAAATTAATGATGAGGTTCCTCAAGGCTCTGTCCTTGGGTTACTATTTTAACGTCTATATGTCGTATTATTGTGCATTACGCCTTCTATGCAGATGACACACAACAACTATCTCTCTAATGGTACCTCAGGAAAATGCGAACCAATCTGTTCAATGATCAAATCTAAAGCAGACTTTGAACCTGCAACATGGAGACAAACCCAAAAACCTCAGTTAATTCAACAAGGAATATTTTAGGATTAAAAAAACATAAAAACCTAAATTAAGATAAGGAAGAAGTACTTTTAACCGGCTTTAATATCACAAAACTGACTGATTTCAGAGATGGTGTAGCTACTAAAAGCATCTCACTTCAGCTGGTGTAGCCAAAGGGTGTGTGATGTACCGTGTTCTAACAGGCCACTGATTTTATGCTGCAGCAGGAAGAGTAAATATTTTATTGAAGAACAGGGGATGCAGAGGTAATTGTCTAGAACTTAAATATTTTATCTTTCTGGGTTCTTTTAGTTTCCTTTTTATTCCCACGTCTCATCCTTTCTATTCAGACTCAGAGGTGCAGAACACTTTAGCTAGTTTCTATTTTAGTTTCTCATCATAAATTCATCCCATCGAGCAAGGGGGATGAAAGACACGCAAAATCCGGATTAAAAAGCTTCATAATGAAAATTATATAACCCTATTGGCAGTCTGCCCACCATATTTGACCCAAACACCAAAGTGTTTGTAAGGAACAGTTTTTACGGCTCTGTAGGATAAAAACAAAATAAACAAAAACAAAAAGCAACGCATCAAACCAAACAGATGTGTGGCTGAAAGAACTGGTTCTCTAAGAGTTAAGCAAGTGCTTCCCCATGTGCAGCACTGCACACAAATCAGTGTGAATGTCAAAGTCAAACCAAGAAAAGTCAACCACAGGAAACAGTGGGGTGTTAATTTTCAAAATAAAACCCCTCACACTATTTCTTTTCCTTTTTCAATTTATTTTAACATCAAAGTAAAAATAAAAACTATTCTCACTTACATGTTAATGAAATACCTATTTTCCTCAATTATCACCAACAATCGATGTTTTACAGCAGCACTAATACACTGAAGTGCTTTTTTAGATTATGTCACAAAATACAGTTGAAGTATATATAATGTATTTATTTATTTCCTTATTATTGAAATGCTAAGGGATCTGGGTTTCATGCTGGAGAACAAAAATAAAAAAGGATCAAAATTTGTATGAATTCTAAATTCACATTTTCTATACATGGTTGCTTTATTCCAACATGGCCGCCTTGCATATAGTTTAAACCACTGATCTCTATTTATTCACTGGATTGCTGATTGCCCGCAAAAAAATGAAGCCACCGTCCGCCATTCTGGCGCTCCCCACTCCCACAGAGATGCGCACAAAAATGCCTACATGTGTAGAATTTGGCTGCAAAGACAAGCAATTTGCCGGCAGTAGGAAGACGTTCCACAAAAAACGTGGATGTTAACCAATAAAATCCATCTGTACGCCGATGTATCCTATACTATAGTATGTAGGGTAACATTAGTCTGGCTATTTCAGACTGACTCGAAGACATTGACTGAGTTAGCCATCAACATTGTGTCTAATGTTAAAAAATAGAAAGTAGAGGTAATAGAAAGTAATTCACTGTGAAATGTAAATGTAGTAATCCTTTATTGAGTGGATGACGCAGTCGTTTTTTGTAGTGTTTGTTGTATTTCCCACTTGAAAAAGTTATGTGCCGAAACATATTGTATGTTATTTTGAAGGGAAAAAAGCGACCGGTCTAAATGTGGAGTACCAATATGGCGGTCGGTGGCATCACTTGAACCCCGTACTACCAACAGGCAATCAGCAAATCAGTGATTAAATAGAGATCAGTGGTTTAAACAAACAGTTTTCATTTTGTATGTGAGAGAATTGTATCTAAGTTCTTTAACATCAAGTGTATCAGATTGGGGTCCGTTTTATGGACTTTTGCACCTTTGCGAAAAGCATGACGTATATAAGGCACATTTTATGTTTCATTTAATCTATTTTTCGATTGTTTTCCGATTGCATTTTAAAGATCACATTATCTTCACTGAAATAAAAAAAAAATGGAAATAAAAAATGTATAAAAAAAGAATAGCAAGATTCAAAAAAAGGAAAAACAAAAATAAATAAAGTTTGATAAACAATGTTTAAAACCTAACCTAAGAAAGTAGCAATGCACATTTAAAAACCTTTTTTTTTTTTATTAAGAAGTTTTTAAAAGTTTGATTTCTGGATTTCTGCATTTCTTTTTAATTTCCATTTACAAAATATGTTATTTACATACAACACTTCCTAATGGAACAGAATTCACTCCACAATAATCAGCTCATTTTGACTGAGTTAAGAAAAGCAGGTGTGCCTAATAAAGTGTCCGGTAGAGCGAACATTCATGTATTACTTCTGCTTCCTGTTGACCTATAATCAATTACAACCATTACAGTAAATAAAACTCTTTTTAAGTTCGTCGAAGAGTAAGACGGAGTATTAGGACATGACTAGTGATATTCTTTTCTTCTATTTCGAGAATAAAGTGGTAAAATTACGGGAATAAAGTCGCAACAAGAACAGTCATAAAAAAAATTACAAGGATAAAGTCATAAAATTACGAGAAAAAAGTCGTAAAATTGCGAGAGTAAAGTCGCAACAAGAATAGTCATAAAATATGAGAATAGTCATAAAAGTATGAGAATAGTGTCATAAAATGACGACAATAAAGTCGTGATATTACGAGAAAAAAGTCACAACGAGAATAGTCATACAATTACATGAATAGTCATAACATTATGAGAAGAAAGTAGTAAAATTACGAGAATAAAGTCATAAAATTACGAAAATAAAGCGATATTACTATAAAAAGTCGCAACAAGAACAGTCATGAAATTACGACTATAAGATTGTAACATTATGAGAATAAAGTAATAAAATTACGAGAATATAGTCATAAAATTACGACAATAAAGTGATATTACCATAAAAAAGTCGCAACAAGAACAGTCATGAAATTACGACTATAAGGTTGTAACATTATAAGAATAAAGTAATAAAATTACGAGAATATAGTCGTAATATTTCTTTCTGAAACAGGTTGTTGTATGATGACTTAATTCTCCTAATATTACAACTTTATTCTCGTAATGTAACGACTTTATTCTTAAAACTGAAAAAAAATAAACAATTTCTAATCTTGATGCTTTTATTTTGAAGGGGTGACAGCAGAAAGCGGAAGTCCAGGTTTTAATGACTCCAGCTGATGTGCAGCAAAGTTCAGGCAGTCACTGCCAACGTTACAGATCTGGGACGAAACTCGCTTCTAACGTCGCGCAAGTCGTTTATTTAAACCAATATTTTTTTATTTTTAGTCGTTTGGGGTTTGCCTTTATTTTACAGTGGAAACAAAACGCTTGGAGGAGAAAGAATGTCTAAAACAGAAAATAAAGCCGCAGAAGAAATGACAGAAGCGGTAAGCTTCAGTTATGGGCAGAA